GGCTTGATTCTAATCATGCAACAATATCATTTATGTTGAATAATTAAAGGTTTTCCTTTATCAATAAGATGTTAATTATAATGGGTTATAAGTTCAGTTGGATAAAATCCATGAGATTAATATACCTTGCAAGAGAACTATAATGGATTGCAGTTATTAGATCCCTATGCATCAAAACATAATCTTTAAATTTTCTTGGTTGATGAATCATTGAAATTGGACATGAATGATACCTAAAGACTGGTACATTCTATGCTTCTTACTTGGGAAGTAAGCAACTAATCTCATAGGTTGAAGGATAAAGATACTTGGAACTGGAATGTAGGTGCTTACTTAGGAAAGCAAGTTCACTGAACATAACCTACCATGAGAAGTGCACTGGATATTTCACTCAAGTGTTTATGCAATGCTTCTCATATGTTAGTTATGTAAATACTCTCTAGACTTGAAACACCAAGTTGTCTTATCCATGGAGTGCTATACTTTGATTTCATTCCAATCGGTGCTTAACCAAGGATGGCAAAACAAGATACTTTTGGTATAGCATGAAGCATGTGAAGGAAAATGAGTGGTCAAGAAAGGAATCATCACCTCAAATGATTTAGGGGACATATCCTAATAGTTCTTGGTTGATATTAGCTTGTTAAAGTCCTTGGCCAAGGCAACTTAGAGATGTTGAAAAAAAAAAGTTTCATAAATCTATATAAAGCTAATGATTTAACTATAGGAATGAATATGAAGGTCAATAAAAGTAAACACTACACCATACTCTCATCATCTTAAGGATATATGATGAGGGTATGAATTACACAAATAGACTATGCACTAAAAAGTTGTCAAAGAATCCTTTAACTCTCCTATCAATTGGGTGGCCATGATGCATTGCTAAATACCAATCTTGGTCTATGAAATTGAATTAATTAATTTAATAAAACTTATAATTCAATCTCATTGCCAACATGTTAGGAACCTAATGGGTCACACACAAAAGTTGTACTATAAATTAAATTGGGAGTGTGATGATTTAAGTTGTACTTAAATCATACTCTAGGTTTTAACTTCTGAGGACTTAATTAAAATAGTTTAATTAACTATAAAGTCAATATTATAAATAGTTATAATATTAGAACCTTAATTGCAAACATGACAAAAGGAAATTAATTTGATTCTAATTTCCAAGGGCTAAACTAAAAGGGTTTAATTAAATGTTGGGCCAATATTATAATAGGTTATAATATTGGGCCTTAATTACAATTATGGGAGTTGTTTAACCTAAATATAAATATCACTTTTAACTACGTCTCACATATAACTATAAAAACCTAGTTGTCAAAAAAAATCAAAAAAAAAAATTCTCTAACTGCCTCTTGTGTTTGAGAGAAAATTCTTGTGATAAATCTCTCTAAAGTGGCTCGGTCTATAATGTGTGTGAAGAAAAGGATAATTGTTATCCACTGTGTTAGTATAGAGAGTAGTTAAAAGCTCCTACCTTACTAAAGGTTCAAGTACAATTATGTGGATACCATTGAAGGTCAAATGCTTAAGTGGCTTGGGTTCTTCCTCCCTGTCTGGTGTTCACAAGTTTGAGTAGAAATAAGAGTAGTGTCTTATCTTCTCTCAGTCAAGAGAATTTGCCATCCTAATTACATCACTTGGCTAAATGATATTTTTTATTACTCCCCTTAAATTTTGTTTGTATTAAAACCACCAAGGTAATGCACGGATGGTAGCATGACATGCTATGTTTAAATTTTTATTTTCTGTTGCGTATGATAATTATTATCTTTGATTTTCATGTCATTCCAGCATATATATATATATATATAGGATCTATATCGATTCTAAAGTTTCAGCATTCTCCTCCGAGATTTTCCATTTAACTATTATATTTACATCCAAGAATAAATCGATAAAGAGAACAAGAGCTTAATGTTGCTTTTTCCATTTTTAGTACGTAAGAAAGAGCATGAGCTTAATGTTGCTTCACGTTACTGTCCCAAACTGGTTTTCTCATAAATTTCACCGGAAAACACACAAAAAAGTTCAAGCTATTTGCATGTACCTTTTTTTTTTCTCTCATGCTAATCACTCATTTTTATTTGTTTTTTTACTTGTGGATTTCACGTGATAATTAACATTTTAGATACAACATACCAAACTATAAATGAAAATGAACTCATCTTAAAATAAAAACAGAACGAGTTACCACTTAGACTTAGTTGAAGTAATAAAGGTAGGATGATATTAGAATAAAAATATTGAATTTCAATTATTTTATTTTTCATTGAGATTATTATCCTATATCCCATTAAATTATATTTAAAAAATTAATAAATTAATATAAGAATTTATTTTGTAAATAGGTGTTGGATATTTTTAAACTCCACAAACTGAGTTAAAACTTGATATGTGCCCCACCTTTATATATTCAAAAAATTAATTAATTAATTAACAATTAAATGAAAAAGTGACTACCATTAAGGGTATTTATGAAGTTTAAAATTTTTATTGTCAGTGTATAAAATAATAACAAATTAATATAACAAATAATTAACTAAATTGACATGTATCAATACCCTAATTTCATTTATAAAATTTTAAAATTCCATTACTATGTATAGAATAACAATACTTTTTTCATTTACCAAAAAAATGAGTAAACTTCATAAAGACCTCTTGTGGTATGACATTTTTTCACGTAACACCTTAAGATTTTTTTTTTTTAATATAAGTTTTGTTCCCTAAGAAGGCAACCATGTTAAATTTTCAATTAATTTTTTATTAAAAATCAATATAAACCTTTCTTTTATAACATCATCCATTCTTGCCATGGTGTCAAAGGCGGAGCTCTCCGTCACCCTTGAGTAGCTTTCAAGAATTGATTGCCCAACATCCTTCTTATATTGAAATCTTGTAAGAACTGAAAAAATTGTAAAGAAAGCCAAAGCTGAAAAAAAAATCGTTAAAATAACAAAACAAAAGAGAAACAAAGATGAGGAGATATTATTACATGTTTTTTTATAATTTTTTTCTATAGATAGACATAAACAATAATTATAAATATATAATACTATTTATTTATAGGCATACCTTGAAAATCTGGAGCATTATCTCAAAATTTTAAAAAAAAAAAATAGAAGATTCGCGGCTTTAGCCCATAGGGTTCATTTTAAGCGCAAAAACTAGACCCATGTTGAACGTCCCAGAGTGATTCGGAAACCAGTTGTTTTCCTTCACATAATCCATCCGATCACTGCAAATATCAACCACATCTTTATAAAACCAACAATTCTTTAATACAAGAAAACTATTTTCCCTTTCTAGTGTGCCCGAAGCACACCAAGGCCCGGAACACTTGTTTTGCTTGCGACCGGTCAAACAAAGGGTTTTTGCTCAGAGAATAATCCGCTTCTAATGAAAGAACTCACCAAACTCCTTGAAAGAACTTTGCAGATAAGAAAGAAGCTAGCTGGAAATAAATTAAGTGTTTCTTTCCACCGAAAAGTTTGCTGCATTCATGAGATTTAGGTGAGAGCAGATGGTGCAGTTGGAGAATACATACACAATAAGAATGATAGGGATGTTTACTTTTCCTTCAATTATTGGAATACTTATCCAATAATTCTACTTTCATGACGAAGCTCTGGCCACTCTCTAAACCTCCTCTACCTTGAAAGAAACATCTACCTGGGTTTTCTTTCTAGACTATTAAAGAAAAATACCAACCAAACCAACTTATTCCGTATTTGACTTCAATCTTCCACCAAACTCATTTACACGCTACAGATGCATCATATTACGTAGCCTAAACCAGTCAATTCATCTCAACTTTAACAAATCAAAAGACCTGCACTGAATTATATGTCAATTTGCTTTATTGACCGAATGTGGTGCATTTAGTTAAATGTTACAAATAATTGCTGCCAGAGTACAGTTAAATTGATGCAAACAATTGTTGATAATAGAGAGTTATTAAGAATTAAAAGTTAACCAAAATTCTAAAATAGCTTTTGGAACATTCACCCCAAGTAATACCCAATTATATGCAACTCACATCACCATTGCTCCTTTGCTGATATAACTGAATCTACACTTTGGTGTCTCCAATTTCATCATTGGACAACATGAATAACCTACAATAAACAAGCCAAACCACGTCTCAGCTGCGTTGTCCCCCAAAAACGCCATCCATAAGGTGTAAAATATGAATATCTAGCACAACAAAAGTGGCAAAACCTTTAATCAGATTACCTAAAAATACCAGACCTGAATATTCTCTGGAGAAATGATCTCTAACAGAATGTAACGTGGAGTATGAGTAAACATGTGCAATTTACTTTCCATCACCTAAAATATCAACTCAACTTCCGATTATATAAACCATCAGATCCACCTTGATGCTGATCAAGACAAATTTGCCAAAGAGTCACTTCACCATACACTATCTGGAGCATAACCCCTACAACTAAGCACAGCCTATTCTGCTCCAACCTGCTATCCTCACTATTTGTTTTGGGTTGTATATAAACAATGCGTAAGTGTCACGGACCACAGCTCAACGCATTAAAAGTGTCCCGAAGTACCGGCATGTGGGGGAGCATTGCTGGGAAAGGACCCTCACTAGATAGCGTAAGGCAAGTGCAGGGTGCCAGCAGGGGCGCACAGACCCCTGGGCAAGCCAGCCCGACAGAGTCAGGCAGACTGCACGCGGGCGCGACAACCCGCACGGCACGCAAATGCGCGGCACGCAGATGCACGGCACGCAGGTACGCGGCACGCAGATGCGTGGCACGCAGAATGACTCGACAGGGGCGCAGCACGCAGGCCTGCACAGCACACAGACAGACTGCCTACGCGGGGCCTCTGCGCACCAGCCCCCCAGCGCCCAGGCACACAGCCTGTGCGCGGCCCAGACCTTCCAGGAGGCCCAAGAGGGTGCCGACCCACCAGACCCATGTATTGAGCTGCTAGAAATTTCAAATTTCCCTCCCAAATGAACTTCTAGAAACTTTAGCTTTTCCTCCCAAATGTTTTGGAGGGAAAACTTTTGGAGGGAAATGCTTTGGAAGGAAAACTTTTGGAGGGAAATGCTTTGGAGGGAAAACTTTTGGAGGGAAATGTGTGGGGAACCTTGGCTATAAATAACCCCATGCTCCTTGTGTAAATCATCCCATTGAATACATTTCAATTCAATTCATTCAATACAAGCTCAACTTCTCTTTGCTAACATTTCTCTTGTCTTCCTTTCTCTTTTATGCAAGCTTGCTTGCCGGCTTAAAGCCATCGTGTGGGTGTTGGGTGTCTGCTGGGTAAGTGCTGAAGCACTAAGACTGACTTGAGTTCTAGTACCGGGATAAAGGTTGAATCCAAGGCCGCACGGAAGGTGGTCTGAAGAATCGCCCCGTGACATAAGACCCACCTTGCTATACAAATCAGTTCAATGCACGGAATACATACCAGGGATGTTATCCCAAGCATTTTGGTTAGTGATTAGGAACATGAACATGACTCACTGACAGATAATAAATCAGAAGACAATGACATGAAAACGTCATGCACAAGGTACAATAGATTTCCAAGAGCCTTTTGATTAATGATGAGAATTCTGTCCAAAAGGTTTCTTCAACTCCAGTACTAGATAATTAATAGTGGATTTAAAATACAAAAAATGAAGCTAAAATAAAGAATTAAATAATGATAAAAAAAACCATAGAAACTTCTCATCCCAGGAAATTGGGAACCTATTACTGTCCAATCAAGCATAATATGAATATTCTACCAAAAATGCATTTCCAATAACAGTTACAGACGTAGATGTATGCTGAAAACTTCAACTGCAAAGACCAAATAACTTGGTGAATCAAAATCCTTTTTTCTACTTGTGAATAATTTAGAAGGGAAAAAGAAATAGGGAGGGGCAAGCAAAAATCTGTTCTGCACACTTTTATTTCTAGATTCAGTTTAGGAGCAGAGCACCCTGAGTTAACAGATATCTTGGACTTTAATCCAAAATGCATATCCAACTACAATCCAGTAAGAAGAAATTTTGTTTCAGGCAAGTTCAGTTTTAATAATACTGAATAATCCATCAGAAATAACAGTCTTTTATGCTTCTCTGTATCTTGATTCTTGCCACTACTACAAGTTACCATGCTGAGCAAAAATATGTTCTTCAAGCTTTCAGTTGAGGAACTGAAGAGACTCTGATATGTGAAGATATTTGGCTATCATATACTATACCTTGTCATATTTCATGAACTTGGATTGAAGTTGAATCTTGAGGACCAGAAGACATTAATTGCTCAAAGGCTAATTGCTTTATAACCTAATACTATCACAGTCCTTGGAGAAATGGTCCTTTTTTACACGGATAAGTTTTTAATGCACGTAAATATAATTTTATAAAATTAAAAAACAACTTAAGTACATTTTTAATTTTTTACCATAACTGCACATATCAAGTTTTATAGTAAACATTTACCTTAGTATATTATGACTTGCGCATAACTCAGGCTCACTCTAGACCGTACAAAAGATCTGATATAAATTATACATGTATCTCTGCAGGCAAGGGGTGCCTACCTGTTACCAGATATTGACAATTCCACATTGCAATGCCATCTAAAAATCAAACTTATTCCTGTCACCTAGTATTTTCCAACATACTTAACATTCAACAGCCAAATGTTTAATGTTATGTTCAGTGATCACATTTATTCATCACATATTTAATACCATCATACTTTATGCTTTTCTATCTCTTGATTCTTTGTGCTAAACAAAATTAACATGACAAGCAGATACTTCTAATCATATTTTGAAAGCATTCGAATGTGAGGAAATTAAAAACATTTTAGTGCAAACATACTTGACCATCATATACTCGTCTTGAATGTTTATTTCCTTATACTTACTGTTAGAATTCTAGGATCTATGCTTTCACAAGCTGAGCTCATCCGTGCTTATCTTCAAGGTAAGCATATATATCCCAGAAAAAAAAAAAAAAAATTTTGCATGCATATCACATGTAAGCAATAATGTATGCACCACTTTCTTAGGTTAGCACTCCCTCTTCAATTTTCTCCATCCATCATTCCTTTTCGGAACATTCCAAAACTATAACCCTTTTTCCTTTTTTAAACAACTAATACTCTTAATTTTCCTATATTTTATATTAAATTTTTTTTTTTTCATTTTGACATTAAAAGCCAAGATACTAGAACCAAAGCCTCTTTTTGCAACTCAGTGTCAAGTCAAACATGGTCAAACAATATGGGAGGGTGGGGCCAAGCTTTCTCACTTCGGTGGAGGAAGAAAAGTGAATATGTACAAACATATTCACACAAAAAGGGTAGTTTTAATATAGAAATATTTGAAATTTCCCTGAAAATATATTGAAACAGATACATATCACAGCAAAAAAAAGGTTGAACAGGCCACCATGAACAAAACCTGCTGCCTTCATGTTATGTCAGAAAGTCCAGGCTAAACTGCTTGCTTGATGTTTTACACTTTCTATATGCCCCTTACATGTCTTGCACAATTTATCCGTCAGTAATTAAATTCCAAAAACACAACTTTAAACTCAGGTAACCACCTTGATTGCTGCTAAAGAAATGAGAAAACTTGAAACGGTCGGAATGTTAGATAATATGACACCCGACAAGATACATGTTAACAATGGACTATCTCGGGCCAAATGCCAAACCAACAGTGCAGGAATTTTATTTCAAGTTAATGAAAATAGGTCATAACCCACTTACAGCCTACAAAATGTACAATCCTAGAGGACAATATTGAAGCAATCATGGTCTTTTGTAGTTTTCGCATTGAGTCACCACCCAAAAGGTGAGTTCGGCATTGAGGTTGGAAAGTGGTTTTGCAATCAAAATCTGTTTTAACAGCTATCTCAACATCAACATGATCCATGTTAAAAGTGGACTAGCTCAGGAGTTAGCAAATGCCAGACCAACAGAAGAACTTTTGTACATGTTAATGAAAACAGGTCATAACCCACTTACAGCATACAAAAAGTACAATCCTAGTGGATGATATTGAAGCAACCATGGTCTTTTGTAGTTTTTGCATTGAGTCACCACTCTAAAGGTGAGTTTGGCATTAAGGTTGGAAAGTGCTTTTGAAATCAAAAGCTGCTTTTAACGGCAACCTCAACATCAACATGATCCGTGTTAAAAATGGACCAGCTCAAGACTTAGCAAATGCCCAACAGTGAAAGAACTTTCTTTCAAGTTAATGAAAATAGGTCATAACCCAGTTACAGCCTACAAAAAGTGCAATCCTAGTGGACAATATTGAAACAATCATGGTCTTTCATAGTTTTTGCATTGAGTCACCACTCTAAAGGTGAGTTTGGCATTGAGGTTCGAAAGTGCTTTTGCAATCAAAAGCCGCCTTTAACAGCAACCTAAACGCATTCTTCAAGTAGGAAGTGCTTTTCATCAGACCAAGCAGTTTAAAAGTGCTTTCCCAAACCAAGCATTTGAAAAGTGCTCTTGGGATAGAAGTTACTTCTATACACTCATTATATTTGTCCTCCAACTAATGTCATGTCCCATTTTGACATTTACTCTCACAACAAAAGTATATCACAGCAACGCTAACACTTGCCATTTTCAACCATAACTCTTTCGCCACAACTTTCAGACCACACTTGTTAACTACACCACAGTTTTCAATCACAACAGTGATGCCAAAATAAGCTTAAGAGAACTAAAGCATATATCATATTTAACCAGTCAAAGCAAATACATAAAAATAAAATGCAAGACACAGATCTAGTCAGTCCACCTACTTAGGCCTGAAATGGAATTTCTTTGCATGCCTACCTACATGCACAGACACACATATATACAAACATCGCAAAATTCCGAAAAAAATGAGTGAAATTCTAGTACATGGGAAATATACAGAAAAATACTAGGTAAAAGCTTCAATTCTTAATTTGTGAAGTATAAGAAATAAGTCATTTTATTTCATGACCAGAGCAGATGAATGAACTTATCATCAAAATGGAACAAAAAACTACCTTCACATTATTTTTATTTCATGACCAGAGCAGATGAATGAACTTATCATCAAAATGGAACAAAAAACTACCTTCACATTATATGCACAAAAAATTGTCTCCAAGGAACAAATCCAATGTTGCACTGTACCCTACCCTAGCTCCACTGAGTTAGAAACCTACTTGGCCCAGACTGAAATATGTCAGCACCATCAGCAGCAATAGACCAACTAACTCTGTTGGCTCAACATGTTTCTGCAGAATTTATTCAGCTTTCACTCATTTTCTCCTCAATCTCGATTTTGGGTACAGCTTTTCGTTGTGCAGCTCTTCTTTTAGTTTGAATCTGGCGAACATACTCTGCAACAACAATGTGCAACTTGGGAGCAAGCTTACTTGGCGAAGAGAAATTAAGGCCTGCCCTTTTCAGTGCTCGTGCAAGATATTTTTCAGCCGCTTGAGCATGGACAGGGCAATGAGGAGGATTAATGGATCTTAGTACAGGTTTCTTACATATCTGGCCACTGCATACAGAGAAGATACAGTTAGGTTAAAATTACTAAAAGCAACATATTATAAGAGTCAACCTTTGGACCACATAGAGCGCAGGTAACAAAGTTGTAAACGAATACTCTATCCAAATACAAGAAACACAATCCCAACTATAGCGAACAGCCAGCAAGATTAATAAGGGAACATGGTTATCCAATATAATAACCTATATAATAAAATAAAGCCAACCATAAATCATGCAGCCATGATCCTACATAAGAAGGGGTGCCATGATCATTG